CGGCCTGCTTTACAGGCAACCTGCTGCCCGGCGATTGGCTGGCCGGGCAGCACCGGGGCATCGCTCCCCCGGCAGCGCCTGCAGCCGGGCTGCAGGTGGGGCTGCCGGTGGGTGCGGGGTCGGGGCGCCCGTTGGGGTGCAGGGGGCTCGGGCACACGAAAGCCCCCACGGGGAGGGAGGCGATGGTCCCACCGCCCAGGGCTGCGAGTGGGAGCGGGGGAGGAGGAGGAGGGTTATGGCCGGGGAGGGTGAGGAAGGTGGCACCGGGGGCAATGCGGACGTGGCCACCAGGAGACACCCTGGGCTGAGCCAGCGCCGTGGGGAGCAGGCAGGAGACGGGGGACGAGTGCAGAGGTGCGGGGCTGCCCTGCACCTTCCTTCGTCCTCCCCTTCCAAGCCATGGCTGCCTGGTCGCTCGCTCCATCGTCACCTCAACTTGCAGAGCGAGGAGAGCTGGCAGCCCCGGAGGCTGAGCCGTGGGCTCCACACGGCTCCTCGCCGGGGCCCACCTTCACCCGGGGGGAGCAGAAGGGCCCCCAGCTCCTCCACCTGTGCCCACCAGAAGGAGCAGACCAGTGTCTGTAGCCCCATGGGTGTCCTCAGGGCAGCTCACTTCCCCGAGCAGAGGGACTTTGCAGGGGACTTTCGCAGTGCAAACACTTCTAGTTTGCACCTTCTCCCGTGGGACAGAGAAGCCGATGCTCTTCATCCCTCCCCATGTTAATTTGGGGTTTGCGGGTTTTTTTGGCCAGAGGAAGCAGAGAGGAAGCTCTAAATGGCAGCAAGTCAATCTCTTGACACCTGAGCGGCGGTGCATTCGTCAGAAGTGCAGGACAGTAGAAAATAGCCAGAGCTGCTTCCTGCGCTGCCTGTGTGGGCGCGACTGCTCCGTGCTGCTGCGCGGCTCAGCGCCGCTCTGCCTCCCCGTCACCCCGGGGTGCTCCGCTCCGTGCCCTGCAGCTTCGCCATCCCCGCTGGTGCTGCCCTGACCCTCTGGGTCACCTCGTGGCGCCACACCAAGGTGCTACAGAAATTAAGGCCTGATGCAGACCTCTGATTGGCAATATAGCTGCTGGCAAGGTGCGGTGCATGGGGCATCAGGGTTCCTGGTTGGGGCTCTGAGGGCTGTGCGTGTGTCCTGGCCAGCAGTGATAACCTGGGGTCATGGCGGAGCAGGGGCTGGTTTGCTCGTGCCACTGTGGTCGCTGTGCCCTGATCACCAGCGTTTGGGTGACTGCACCGGAGAGACAGGTGGGAGGAAGATGATGGCAGTGTCAGCAGGGCCGGTTGCTCCCAAGGGATATTTTGGTTTGAGCCCTGAATGGAACGCGCATCCTCTGCATCTGGGGGTGCTGCCTGGGCTCCCGTGTGCGAGCGGGAGCCGTGGCTTTCTGTGTGACAAGGGTTAGCACCTGCTGCACCCGTGCCTTGGGACGGGCAGGCTGTGGGTGCAGACCCCGCTGTCGGGTGGGAGGTGTGGGAATGGGGCCGCTGGGTGCCAGCAGCTGCCCGAGTGCCTTTTGCACATCCCCACCCTCTGCTCCCACCACCTTCTTGGTGGGAGCACTCACTGGGGTGGTGCGGCTCGGGGCTGTGCTCAGCTGGGGCGGGCGCTGCTGGGGATGTATGGACCCCCCTTGCCAAGTTGCCTGTCTGTGTTTTCACCGGTGGGCACACCCGCTGCCAGCTGTGCTGTGCACCCATGTGCTGTGGGACCTGCTCCCGTGCTATCGCCTTGGGCAGTGTGTGAGGAGACCTCCGAGCCCCTCCATGTGCTCCCAACCATGTGGTGGATGCCAGGACATCGCTTGCCCCTTGGCTTGCTGGGGTAGGAGCCTGGGAGCAGCTCAGCTGGCCCCACAGCTCTCCCCCTGTCCCAGTGCTGGGCGGGAGGGCTCGGTGCTGGCAGTGCAGGGGCCTGGCAGTAAGGCTGATGGGCTGCTCCATTCTGGGAGGTCTTTCATCTGTCATGTTTCTCCTGTTCCAACCTTGCCTTCTGCTTCTAAGGCTGCAAGGAAACATCACTCCTAGTTTGCCCTTTGCTGCTGCTCACCAGGCAATGCCCTCTCCCAGGCAGAGACTAACCTGTGTTTCTTGCAGCCTGTCCTCCCGCTAGCAGTGACCGTGTCGGGCCGTGCTCTGCCCAGCTCCTTGACCCGCGCAATCTGTGTTGGCTTCTGACCTGGTGGTGTCCCTCTGGGAGCACCAAGCCGGGAGAGGGGTTCCCAGCCCCTTGCAGAGCCCGGGCTTGGCTGATGTGGGCTGCAGCAGCGGGGGCTGCTCTGGGGAAAGCTAAGCAGAGCATGTTCCCCGCAGGTAGTGAAGATGTCCGGCAGCGACCCTGAGCGCCCCCAGTTCCTCTTTGTGAAGGTGCTGGCAAGCCGGGGGCGGCTGGAGGCAGTGACCCAGCAGATGGGCTACCACCCGCAGTACCTCGACAGCTTCCTCAAGACGCAGCACTACCTGATGCACATGGACGGCCCGCTGCCCTTCGACTGCCGGCACTACATCGCCATCATGGTGAGCCCTGCTGGGAGATGCTGGAGGGGACAGGGGGCTCTGCTCAGGCCCGTGAGGCTCCCCGCTCTCCCTCCACCAGACAGCCTGTGCCACAGGCTTCTCTGCAGAGGCCAAAATCATGCTGTCCTGGAGGTTGGGCGAGAGGTGGGAGCAGGGTCCCAGGACGCCTGTCCTGCCGGTGCGGTGCAGGGATGCTGACATGCTGCTCTTGCAGGCAGCTGCCCGGCACCAGTGCCGGTACCTGGTGAACCTGCACGTGCTGCAGTTCCTGCGGGCAGGGGGCGATCCCCAGTGGCTGCGTGGCCTCGACTTCATCCCCCCCAAACTCCGCAACCTCAACGAGATCAACAAGATCCTGGCACACCGGCCATGGCTCATCACCAAGGAGCACATTGAGGTATTGGGGGAGGGGCTATCAGCCAGGGACCAGGGCGGTGGTGGCAGGGACAGCAGCATCCCCAGGCGGTGCCGGCACCCTGCCCTCCTGCCCGCATCACATCGCTGGTCTGTTCGTGTCCTGCAGAAGCTGCTGAAAATCAGCGAGTGGAGCTGGTCGCTGGCGGAGCTGGTGCACGCCGTCGTCCTCCTGGCACACTGCCACGCGCTCGCCAGCTTTGTCTTTGGCTGTGGCTGCGAGCAGGACGAGGGGCTGGGGGGCCGAGGCTCCCTGAAGCCCTTGTCGCCTGGGAACCAGTGCTTCTGTGAAGCCACTGCTGGCAACGGCTGCAGCCAGGAGCTGCTCCGCATCAACCGCAAGCGGGTGAGGCCCCGAGCATGGGTCCACGGGGGGACGGGGGGCACGGCTGGGACTGCTGCCCTCACCCCTGAGCCTGTCTCTGTGCAGTCCCTGGACTCCTGCATGGAGCTGGATTCCCTCCGGGAACGCATGCAGCGGATCCACGTGGAGACCGAGGGCA